AAAATAGAATAAATTATTGTAAGGCCCTCTCCGGCAAGACGCTATTCAGTGCGCTCTATGGCAACTATACAGTCACGCTGAATGAGCTGAAGTCACTGATAAAGGCCAGCACATCAGGCAAAAATATTCCAGCCCGGGAGGAGGGCTTCAAAGAAGTCCGGAGGCGGAAACGACAAAGTACCGCTGAAACCGCACCGACTCCAAACAAAACCAACGGCAAAAGTAGAAAGCAACCCTAAACCAGAGGTAGCCACCAAAAACAACTTCGCCCCCCTCAGGGAGGCAACGATGGAAACAGAAACTTCTGGTGCAGAAGCTACTACGCTGGAGGAGGAAACCTCAGGCAAAGCAGGCAGGCCCCCCCCCCAATAATTCTCACGTCCACAGTAAACCTCGTTCAATTGCAGAAGCAACTGAAAAATGTTGTCAAAGGCAACTTTGAGTTCCGCAGTACCAGAAACGGGACCAGAGCCCTCACCAAAAACATGGAGGATTTCGAAGCCGTCAAGCCCCATCTATCCAACAACAAACTTTCTTATATTACCTTCTTTCCCAAGTCCCTAAAACACATAAAGGCCGTAATCCGTCACCTCCCTCACAATATCCCTGCGGAGGATATATCTGATGGACTGGTGACCCTGGGATTTGATGTGGTCAGTGTGAAACAGATGACAACCACCCGCGGGTCGCCTTCAGACGAAAGGATAGCAAGAAACCTTCCGCTCTTCCTTATCACCATACCCCGGACGGCAAAATCACAAGAAATTTTCCATCTTCAAAGCCTTTGCCACATTTCCATTCGGGTTGAGGCATATAGATCACAGAGTGGCCTTACGCAGTGTCACAACTGCCAACAGTATGGCCTCGTCTGGGCCAATTGCAAACAACCTCCCCGTTGCATGTGTTGCGGGGGTGGCCACCTGCACACAGAGTGTCCTGAGAAGGAGAACGCTGCATCCACTACAGCTTGCTGCAATTGCGAATTGAAGGAAGGAGAGAAGCCCCATCCCGCCAACTATCGGGGCTGCAGACACGCGAGGGAGGAACTGCAGAGGAGGAAATCGCAGAGAGCACCGAAAACTACGACGGGAAGGGTGTCCTCCTCAAATATCGTTACCCCTGGATTCTCCTTCGCGGCAGCGCTTCGTTGCAGCACATCGCAGGAGCAGCGACCGCAGACTCTCCAAGTTCCAGTGGCAGTCCCACAAGAGGCCACGAAACCGGTCCTTGTACAGGAACAAAAAAGAGGTCAGTCAACTCAGGCTACTCATGTAAACAGTCCATCTCTCGACAATATGTTGAGAGTAGTGACTGTAGTACAGCAGATTATGACAGAGGTCAGTGGTACAGTGTCCGAGGAGGAAAAAATAATGGCCATTACCAAAATTGTTCTAAACCTAATGAAACAAAATGGCCACTAGACTTCATAGGCACCTCAAAGTCATAGCATTTAATGCGAACGGCATTGGGAAGCAACGCTATGAGCTCAGTAAACAGCTGCAAGACCTACACATAGATGTGGCCCTGTTTTCAGAGACACATCTGAAACCCATGAGAGGTTCTTTCTTCCAAATTACCACTTTTATAGAATCGACCGCCAGTCGGGGAGAAAGGGGCGAACTGCCGTTGCAGTAAAAAAGGCATTCCCCACAACTATGTAGACATACCACCCCTTGTTTCAGTAGAAGCGACAGGTGTCTGCATACCAATTGGTAATAGCGAAGTGCTGCTTGCAGCTGTTTATAAATCTCCAGGCAAATCCTGGAGTGATGCTGACATCACTGAGCTCTTAAGCTTCAGACGAAAGTCTATTTTGGCAGGTGATTTGAGTGCTAAGAACCCATTTTGGAATAGTAGAGTTTCAAACCCCTCAGGTTTGAAACTTATGGATTTATTTGATATGGGCGATTTCGAAATCTCAGCTCCACAGTGCCCCACTCACTATTCCCCTGCGGGAAATGGTGACGTGCTAGACATTGTGGTTCACAAAAATATCAGAATGTCAGAGGTCGTCGTCTCTGATATTTTGGATTCAGATCACCTACCAATAGTATTTCACATACTGGATCACGTTAAAATAAGCAACCTTTCAAAACCCATTGAGAAATTTACAGATTGGGAGCGGTTTCGAATTAATATCACCTAAACTAGAAATTAATTCGGGGGTAGAAGCCGATAAAGCGGCACGCGACTTTGCAGCCTCTATTGCTTCGGCATATAGGCTGTCGACAAGTAAAGTTACACTTTCGGACATAAACAACGATCTTCCTGGTCTAGATCGTTTGATAAAATATAAACAGAGGCTACGAAAACTGTGGCAAGAAACCAGGGATCCAGCGTGTAAAACGGCAGTCAATTGGGTCACCAAATCAATCAGGCGAATGACCCGTAAAAAGGCACTTGAACGGTGGGAAACAAAAATAAGTAACACCGAAGTCACACCTCAGTGTATATGGCCCATTGCGAAATCTCTCCTTCAGAGAGACGGACCAAGGGCACCAACTGCTATTCATGGTTCTTCTGGTTTAAAATTTTATCCTTTTGAAAAAGCCAACGAAATTGCCGACTGTTTGGAAATTCAGTTCACGCCACATGACCTGTGCGATGAAAACCATGAAGAGCGGGTGGAGGCTAGAGTTCAAGCTCTGCTGGAAGCCGTGGATGAAAACCCCCCTCTAAGGATCAGACCATGTGACGTTCAGAAATTAATGAAATCCCTGAAATTAAATAAGGCCTGCGAAATTGACGGCATCCCAAATGAATGCCTCAGGCACCTTCCAAGGAGACCATTGGTTCACCTAACTCACTTATTCAATCACTGTTTTCGGCTCTCTCACTTTCCAAATACTTGGAAGGAAGCAAAAATAATAACTTT